GTCAGAGCAGTCAGTGGTGGTAGCCGGGCACCATCTAGCTGTGCTGGACTCAGTCTGGTGGAGGCTGTGGTAGTTGTGGTCCATCAGTCCTTTGGACTAATCTTTCCCTTGTGTCTTTAGTTTTCTTCATTTCCCTTGCTCCTGAAGGGGTGAGACCAGTGGAGTACCTTAGATGACCACTCACAGGCTTTTAAGACCCTAGTATCTAAAATATTTTAAGCATGAAATGTCTTATTTCCCCATCTGGATTCTGAGCTTCCAACAGAGAGGACCCATGTGATACACCCTGATATCCCCTCAGCACCTAGCACAGAGTTTTGTATATGCCGCGTGCTGAAAACTGTGTGTTGCTAACGGTGGAATGATGTCTTGAGCACTGAAGTGCCGTTTGAAGATTCACAGGCCCAGCACAGGCTCTCGTGTGAATCCGTCCACTCTATGCTACAGCCTGTGGGGTGTTCTATCACGTATATACTAGACGACAGTCACGCTGCGAGCAAAGGTGTAAGAATATATTTTTTAATTTTTGTTTATTGTGCTTCAGGTGCAAGTTTACAGCTCAAGTTAATTTCTCATAAAAATTTATTCACATATTGTTAGGTGACCCCAGCTGCAACCCTACAATGTCACAGCACACTCCCCCTTCCCACCCCATGTTTCCCGTGTCCATCCAACCGGCTCCTGTCCCTCTCCCTGCCTTCTCATCCCGCCTCCGGACAGGAGCTGCCCATTTAGTCTCGTGTATCTACTGGAACTAAGAAGCACACTCTTCACGAGTATTATTTTATGTTTTACACTCCGGTCTAATCGTTGTCTGAAGAGTGGCCTTCAGGAATGATGTTAGTTCTGGGTTGACAGAGAGTCTGCGGGCCATGTCTTCTGGGGTTCCTCCAGTCTCAGTCAGACCATTAAATCTGGTGTTTTTACATGAATTTGAGTTTTGCACCACACTTTTCTCTGTTGTGTTCCTTGTCAGGGCGGTCATTAGTAGTAGCCAGGCACCATCTAGCTCTTCTGGTTTCAGGCTGATGGAGTCTCTGGTTTATGTGGCCCTTTTGTCTCTTGGGCTAATACTTTCCTTGTGTCTTTGGTGTTCTTCATTCTCCTTTGCTCCAGGTGGGTTGGGACCAATGGATGCATCTTAGATGGCCACTTGCTAG